GCTGAGCTCCCACTGCCGCACTCTCCCGAGTGAGCCACAGGGTCGGCCCAAGGTGGTATCTTTTAAGCACTAAATTTCGCCTTTATGTTGCCCAAAGGATTGCTTTTTGGATCAGAGATGACATATTTAAATGTCTTTCCTGGATAGTGTGATTGAAGGCTTTGATAATATCCCAGCTCTCACATAGCGTTGTTCATCTGTAAGTCCTAAATTGCTTTATTGACTATATTAAATATCATTATGTTTCTTACAAGTGAAAATCTAGTAAACAGAAAGATCAAAGGGCACCTATACAGTTGAGAAAAAAGTCAGTGGACTTCTGGGTTCTTCTCAGTGATTGCTGTGCTATAAACTACCCCTCCTGACTGTTTGGGGACAGAGATTAAGAAAATGAAAGAGGGAGGCATTCAGTGAAGTCTTATTTTTTCCTTTCAGTTGAATTTCATTTTCTTTTACCTGTTTCATGACTCTGCGTTCCCATTGTAAATAATTCACAGTACAGAAAAATCTGAACATGAGGTTTAGGTGGAATGATTTTAAATTGAGATCGATTGATTGATTTACTTTATTACACACATTTATAGTGTTCTCCTGGGCTATCATTACATAACCTACATATTTGTGCATTGGCAGAAAGTAAATATTTTCAAAACCAAAATAGACATACTCCATGTATGTTTGAAGTGCTGTTTTATTCCATAAATATGTGTTTTATCTTTTATCGGCATTTTTAAAAATATTGCAGAACGTGTCATTGGGAGAAAGGAATCTGATGTAATAAGATGATGTGATCAGTCATTTCTGTAAAGTTCTTGGTTTGGTCACTGGTAATGTATCAACAAGAATAAAGGCTATGCGTGACCCACCAGCCAGACCTGACTTTTCCAATCCTGCCCTGTATTTCCGAAGAAGTATTGGTCATTTGGTTGCTTGGTTTGTCACAACCTACATTTGGAATCTAGACTAAACCTCAATCTGTATGCCCGAGAAGTTCAGGACAGATGCGTGTTCTCAGTCCTTTGTAAATGTGTTGCTGACCCCTTCCAAAAGGGGTCCTGANCAAATGGGAGGTGGGAACCTGTTCTTTCTTTTTAATAGGACTTGTGTTCTACAGATAGGTTCAGCCTTAACCTCTCTTAACACAAGTCAGCGTTTTCTTGTTCTGCAAAAGGTTGGTGGCAGGTGTTTTACAACATCTTCAGATATTGCTTAGTTTTTTGGTTTTTGGTTTTTTTTTTTCCCCCCATGGTAAAGGAAGAGAGGCCAGAGATAATCCAGAGCTTTTTTTGGTTGGTTTTAGAGTACAGTTGTAATTACCCAATGTATTAGTCAGGGATCTCCAGAGAGACAGAATCAATAGGATATCAATAGGATATGTTATAAATATATGAGGGGGATTTATTAGGGGAATTAGCTCATGCAATTATGAAGAGAAGTCCCATGATAGGCCGTCGGCAAACTGGATGCCAGTAGGGTGGCTCAGTCCAACTCCAAAGGCCTCAAACCAAGGAAGCTGATGGTGTCCTTGGTGTAAGTCCTGGAACCCAAAAGCTGAAATGTCTCAAGCTCTGATGTCCACAGACAGGAGAGAAGAGTGTATCCCAGCTCTCTGGATAGAGAGTGTCACCTTTTTTCTCTTTTGTTTTCTCCAGGTCCCCAGAAGATTAGGTGGTTCCTACCCACATTGAGGGCGGGTCTTTTCCACACAGTCCACTCAGGCTCTCATGCTAATCTCTTCTGGAAATACCCTCATGGACACACCTAAAAGACAGCTTTACCAGGTTTCTTGACATTCCTTAATCTAATCAAGTTGACACCTAGAATTCACCACAAGTCCACCACCTGTCAACTTGGAGTCCATACTATCTGCTTAAATCATACTTAATCTTCAAATGGGACAATAACATAATAGTGTCACCTAACATGTCACAACTATACTGCATACAACTGAAAACACATTAATCCCTTTCCTAAAAGAGGAGGTAAAG